CAGTGGGTGGTTCTTAATGTATCCTAGATTATTTCAGCAAAGTTCCAGCTCGAATGAAAGAGTTTTAATTTTGGAGCGATTTTCGTCCAAGTGGCCCTTTAACGGTTCTTGATACTAACGCAATCGCAGACTGCTGCAATTATATCAAGCGGTCACATGACAAAGCTCAACGCTATTAAAATGTTCTACCGAATTTTCAGCCTGAATATAAATATCCAACGTATTTGTTTAATCACAACTTTATTGTAGTTATTTGAATGCTAATGTTAAGTATTTACTTGATAAAATGCCGGCCCCAGGCGTATATTTAAAACTTACCCCATATTGTCGGTATTTTTACTATATTTATGTTTTGTCTCACTGTTTCGTTGTTTTAATAGGTTGTTCGAGTGTTTTTTCTACAGTTATTTTTGATACTTCTTTCTGGTCTGCAGTCTGCGGTCTGCAGTCTGCGTTTGTCGCACACCGTGACTGGACCTCGTTGACCCGGAGTCTTTGGAACCCGGCCTTAGTTGAAACGGGTTCGAACTCGGCATTTATTCAGGACCCCGCTTCTAATAATGAGGCTTTTTTCAGGGTATATCTGAGCCTTTATTGCTTTAACATATATTTAACGATCTAACAAGAAAGATATGGTAAATGAATATATGCGAGAAATCGGCTTATAGTTTGAAATATATATGTTCACCCGGCTTTTATTCCAACCCGGCGTTAATTCGGGACCCGTACCCCGCGTTAAGTCGGGTAAATACGGGAACCCTAGATTACATGTCACATAGTATTTGATAAAAATAATTGATTATGACATACTAATATGCTGTATATGCCTGATATAAAACATTAAAATTCTTTTTTCACGGGAGATCTTTTCAAAACTTTCCTCCAAAATTCAATTCCATTACATTGTCACATCGAAGGCTAGCTCGGGATCACGGGAGTGAATGATCCGGAACATCAGCTAATTAGTTACATATTTATTTGATACAAATAATCGATCATAACATACTAATATGCTGTATATGCCTGATATAAGAGATTAAAATTCTTTTTCCACGGGAGATCTTTTCAAAACTTTCCTCCAAAATTTAATTCCAGCCGTTTGGCAAGCCATGGGTGACTCCTTTCTGAAGAACGTCCATCTCGTGTTTAGGTAGTTGTATCCGGGTCCAAGTTCATGGTATTGAATCAAGTATCCAAATGCATCGTGAACTGCTGCGTGATATGCCAAGGGTTCTTCTTCTTTATAAAACACCTTGTGCAATCTCTCTGAGTCTCCTTTCCCGATGCGACCACCTGAAAGAAATCCAAAAAAAACGAAAGAACGTTTTGAGCCATCTTTCAGACGACTTTGTGATATATCATTTTTATTCATGAGGCAACTTAGTTTTCCTTTGAGGAAATTCGCTCAAGCGTCAAATACTTTTTACTGGAGTTGAAATCAAAATCTTCATGGTTTCCTTCTATTCTTTTTCTTTTCTGCAGTTTTATCCGCTCCAGACCTCTTTTGGTTTTCAGGGGCGTAGCCGGGGCGGGGGGAGGGTCAAATTTTGAGCAGCAGTTACATGTAAAAATCCTAGAAGTCAATATAAATATAGCCTGCGTCACATCCGGAACTTTCTTCGTAAAGTACGAAAGAAAATGCGGGATGGAACGCAGGCTAATATAAATGCTAAGTGTCTTCTTATAACTGAGTTTTAACTCTTCTAACCCACTACAGTAGAGTGCACGCACTAAACCCGTGAATAACATTTAGTACTAATTAGTAGTAATTCATACAGAATCCTTTGTTTTCTATTGTTTGATTATCACTATGCTATTTAGCACTAAAAATATAGTATTTGTTTCACGGGTTTAGTGCGAGCACTCTAACAATTTCTATTTGAATTTTATTAAAAGTACTTTAATTTAGATCTTTTATCCCCTATCTGGTAACGAAATGATTCCGGATGATCTTACGTCAACGTGCCATATACCGTTTAAGGCCCACGAAACTAGCTGCGTCCATCCGGTATAATTACTAGTAATCCAGTATACCGGCCGGATCGCAGGCTAACAGTAACCCCGTCTCAGAATTCAGTTCCCAGTAGCCCACACTCAAGTTCTCGAAGATCATATTCTATAATTTCGTATTAAGGCTATGAAAAGCATCATTTTGCAAGGAAACGACAACATTAGTCTGCTTTACCTGTTGGGTTCAATAACACTCCAAACACCGGATCCAATCCACCTAGCATGTCACCAACGACCTTGCCAGACCGGAGCTGCTGTCTTGTTCCCCAGAACTCATCATGCCCCAAGGGAGAAATTTGTTTTAATGGTTTTTTTGTTTCTTTCGTCTTTTCGATCTTCTGGATAACGCATTCTCTCGTATTCAGGAATGCCTGATAGTCATGCTTGATTTTTTCCCTGTATGCGTCGTCACTTCCTTCGTTGTTTTCGTTTCGGGAGCGAAGTTCCGCAAGCTCTTCAATGCTCATTTGCGCCTCGTTTGAGAAGGCTTTTCCAGCTTCGATCAGTGAGTTTAATTTTTTTATGATTTCACCCAACTTGACACGATTATTCTCACTGATTTTATCGTCACCGCGAAACTTAGACTTAGTCATGGTCTTTAGGTATCGCTTGACTTCCTTCGGTTTACTCTCTTCACTAAGTTTGACAGTTTTCTGTTGAACTCGCTTGTTGAAGAATGCCAATTTCTTAGCAGCATACGCGCTGTTAACAGCTTTATAGAAATCTGCAGACTTTTCGGTCATTTTTGAAACCAACTACGATGAATATACAGCCAAGTGTTGTTTGTTCCTCTTATAGCATTCTGCATACGGCTCAAGTGGTTACGTCATGAAGCCCTACCCAAATGACCTTTTATAATCGTTTTCCGCTTTATTATCACTCCTAATCCTTGATAAAATGCACATCAAGTCGACTACGCACGCCAGGCTCCAAAGATAAATAAAAAATAGTAAAAAAGGATATAAAAGATCAACAAGTATTTCACGTGGATGACAGATGACATTCAATAGTGTTATTCCCCGGTTAATCATGTTGACGCTATTTATTTCTAAATAGATTTCCAAGAAATAACGACACTTTTTAGAGCAAACTAAAAAGTGTCGTCGTTTCTTTGAATCACAGAGGCGGCGGAGCCAAGGGGCTCGGTGGGCTCCTGCCCCTCCACGTAAAATTATAGGGAGGCTGAGACCCCCTACGTTTTGAGGTAGAATCTCCGGGGTAGAGTCATAAAATATTTTTAATAAGGATAAACGGAAAGAATTCAAAACTAGATCTGTTGTTGTTTCTTTTTATATTTAACGAAAAGCAACATAATATAAATGTTTGAAAAGTCGACCAAAATGTATCAACAATCATTACAGGAAGCCATTCAAATGTTAACCAATTAAAGATCGAGACGCGGTACTTTTATGCGGACAATATTTTCCAGACTGAAAAATAATCTACAAAAATACGCGACACACTCTTTCAGCCACGCAAATACTCACATTTCGTTTCAACGTTTAATGTATTTAGGAAATTTTTAGAAATGAGCCCCCCACGATTGAAAGGGCTCCGCCGCCTCTGGATTAAGTTTGTACTCAGGGATTTCCTTACAGTGTAAAGGGGCACTTGGATGAAAATTGGAAATGACTTGAAACTCGTTTAAAATTATCTATATGGCCCCAATAATAGCCAAGCAACGTATTTTCTTCACAGTAAAAAGTGGCGGATAAATATAATCAATTTCATTCAGCATCTAAATTGTGAGTAAATGCCGTCATTTACTCAACCCTATTGTTCTTTTTGCTTTCAAACCAAAATTGCTCATCTGCAAGTGGCTCCCAGGCTAAGATTTTCTTTCACTAATCATGTTTACATAGTCATAATTGAGTCATATTATCCTCAAATACTTCAATTATTTGGACTTTCAAAAATTGGGGCGTTTTCATTTAAGTGCCTTTTTACAAACGTTGATGACTTGATCAGTATTTATAGCCTCCTATACAGACGCTTTTACGGATCGCCTGTTATTTACGTCATTCAGCTTCCAAAAATATCTGACTGGGGTGGGAGGCAATTATCATTTGAAAGGGTGGAGGATCTCAAAGGTTGTATGTGTTTCTTGATTTCCGGTTTCCGGCCGTAGAAATGAAATAGTAGTCACATGTTTTACAGTTGCAAGTTGACATAAATATTGTCCTCCATGCAATTCCAAAAAGTCACGCGATTAATAGCAAGCAGTATGACGTAACGACGTAAGACGTATGACGTAAGGAGGTGAGTGATCCATGGTCTATTTAGCAAACCTCTTGAGTACGAATGCTTAGAGTAGAAAATAGAAGAAACTGTATACTATCAGTATAAAACTAAAAGTGGAAGAACTAAGAGTTGAAATTAATGTATTAGGTACACGTCACCAAAAATGGTTAGTTTCCAACTCTTACTCACTCCCTATCCATCGAGCCTGTCCTTTGCAATTTTATTCTTGTGCAGTACGAAGACTTCTAAATGCGAAACTGAACAATGCACTCATTCATTTGATAATTCATCCATCTATAGTCCTATCCATCATGTTAATGGAGCGGAATGGTTTGAAAACTCCATGAACAAAGCTATTGTTTTGCGTTTAATGTTGAACCGTACCATCACGTATACTGACCCTGCACAATGGACCAAAGCAAGTATGGCTAAAAATACTGATTTACTTATTATTTTCATGTATGAACATTTTGAAAGTGAAAACTTTCATTCCATGACCACAAACCATGCGAATAGATATTTCCGCACAGATACAGTTAAGTTACTAGATGATAATTAAGAAAGCATGAAAAAAGGTAATTTACTTTTCAATGAACAATTTGTATCAATCATATAGGATTAATTAACAAATAATAAGTATTTTAGAATGTTTTTAGGGTTAAAAACTTCTATATTCCCGAATACTATGAACAAATGGAGCAACGTTTCTTTCTCTGTCCAGGGTCAACGTCATATAACAATGGATAAAGTCGAACAAAAACATAGAACAATTCCTAACCATTCCTTCCATTAACTATGTATCCATTTATTCATCGTTTTTCCCTCTTTAAATAAAGACTATTATCATCATCATCATCACCACCACCACCACCATCATCATCATCATCATCATCATCATCATATCCTTCGATCAATCAATCAGGGAAGCTACCTACTTATTAATTATTATTCTCTTAGCTTTGGGTGTACTCATATTTTATTAATAATCCCCTTGGCTTTGTGTGTACTTAGTCTTATATCTTATTAACCATTCTCTTAGCATTTGGTGTACTATAATAACAAGAAGAGAATGAATTGAATACTGGAAATGAAATAGAATAACACAACACTGATAATAACTAGTACTTGTTTATTTAGAATTATCTTACCAACATTACTATTAATGTTACCTTATTGATAAAATTGTTGGCATTGTTGGGGAAAAAAGAATGATGGTGATTCGCCAGATAACTGAACGAGAATCGTTGTCAGAGAGGTTGACATAAAAATATCAACATTACAGTAGCGGATATTAATCTAAAGTGTCAAAAGGTGTTCTTAAAGCTACAATAGTACAAGTATATTTGTTTTACATTTTAAAAGTATTTAAGGATTGCCATTTAAAAAATATTCAATAAAATTAATAACCTAGTTAAACAAAACAAAAAACTGCTAAAATTTACCGTTACAAGAATTCTTTGGCATAATTTAAATAATACATCTTCTAACATTTATCTTTAATAAATATGATAATATATGGGATAATTTAATTCGGTGTCAATTGAAGCTGGCACAACAGCATTAGGGGGTAGGTAGGGATAAAGAAAAGGAGTGCCAATGTGGTAAAAGGCTGGAGTAGTGATGTTGAATATTTAGAAGTCCTTTAACTACTGCATAGGATTCCATGAGGCAGGTTAAACTTATGTTACTGTTTGTCTGTTTATTTGTCTGCTAGTCTGTCTTTCTGTCCATCCTCTTATGTCCATAAGCCAAACTCAAACTCCAAGGCAAGCCTGCTTAGGCATCCTCTCTTGGCTTGCCTTTCCCTAACCCCCCTAATCTAACCTCAAATATAGTACCAAGAAAGTGATGAAGTCATAAAATTATTTTTTGAAGAGCTTTACGATTTTGGTGAACAGAAACTGCATTATGATATAATGTGGAATTTCAAAGTGATAGAGTGAAAAATAGCTGAGATATAGGTAATTGAATGCAACAATATCCCTTGACATTTTCTCTTATTTGGTGGTGGATCTAATAAATTGGATCCAGAGTAAAATAAGGCAAAATGATGTCTAATATCTTCATTTATACATCTGCCAAATGTAGGTAATGCTGAGTTCTATTTAAACTTCAAGAACTCATTAATATTTCACGAAGGAAACACAATAGAAATCATGACCTTGAAGGTGATTTTATATCTGATATAGATTCGTCTTCATTTGCATAAGCTTTAACTTGGATTTTCTCCATCAAACTTGGTTCATTTCGTAAAGAATTCAGTACAATATGAGAACATACATCATCAGTTTTTGAAGCCGTTCAATAAACTCGCAGATCCTGTTTTATTAGGTCTAAAAACACTCTGCTAAGCCTCATGTTTTTAAATCCTGATAAAACGATTCCTGCGAGTTTATTAAACAGTACATGACAATCCACTTGGAATTTGATGACATCACACTGGCTTTGGTACTCTAAGTTTCTGTGTATCAGAGATTCTCAATGGAAAAATATTTTTCTAATATTCAATTATACCATGGTATATAGATGTATTCAGTAACAGTGGTCCATTTTAATATTTTGTAAGTTCCCCAGGCAAGAAAAACACCAAATAATGCTTTGATTGAAAACTTTACCAATTGGCTTGTTTTGCTTGGTTTTGGAACTCTGTAAGAAACGAAAAACGAATATCAGTAAGTACAATAGAAAGTGCAATCTGGTTTATGTTTAAACAATAGAAAACATGCAATTATGTCTACATGTATGTATGCACTGTGATGCAAACATGTTTGAAGCTATGCAGGAAGATTGACTTAATTCCAGGAATTCAACCCAAAACCCTAGCCTCCTAGGCAGATGTTATTAGGGTTGCACATCATCAAAAGTGTTGTGTGATGCATTACGGAGGCCACCCAAGAAACCAGAAGTGAGAGTTTTAAAGCTGCTTATTTAAACTTCCTGACAAAGAGGCTACATGCACAGATCAATGTTAGCACCATACTTCATTCACTAATACAACATATTCCTCAAACATCAGAGCATGCATAGCTATATGACTATATTATAAACAAAAACATCAATGATTTACTTGAGTAATTCTTGAATGTCAATATCCTTGTCAAAGTTTTCCTTTATTCCTACTGTATGACCGATTCCTACTACACCTACAACAACACTGGGTATTGTACCCTGATATTCTGCCAAAGAAGAAAATAATCTGATTAGATACTTGCTTGATGGGTAAACAAAAGGTGGCAGACAAACTTTGCATGATCCACATGAACAAAACGTTCCAGGTTCTCAACAGGGGCATAAGCCTGTAAGGGTAATCTTATGTTTTGTGATAGTCGGCCAATGCTCAGGGTTCCATACTCGGTCAACAAACAGCCAATAGTCGGTCAACTGTTGACCAACAGTCAGGCAAAAGCCAACCCTCACGTGTCAGCAGGTCATGAAGTACACAATTGTACCCCCTGTAAGAGTGAACAAGGTTGCTTCCCCCTAGCTAATCAGATTTACCAGTTCATGATGAACAGAAAGCCTGACAGGTTTTGTAACCCATTTGACAAGGCTACTGAAAAATTGAATTAGAATTTAAAGGTTTATTTTTGTGGAGGGAAGAAAAATGGGAGAAAAACCCTTGAAGCACAGGAGAGAACCAACAAACAACTAAAACCTGGTTCCTCTTGGTGGAGGAAAGAGCTCTCACCACTATTATTTATTTAAAACCGTAATGACCATGAAACAACTCCAATAGTGTTCGGTTTACATGGGTTCATAGCGCCATATTATTATCGTTAAACTTCTCATTAAATAAGTGTTAATAGAGACTAGGGGCGTCATAGTAGTACAGACTGGTGGCGTCATGGTATACGTGGGGCGTCATGGCTGGGGGCGTCATGACAAGGGGGCATCATGACAAGGTAGCATTACCGGGACATGTAAGGGGCTATTCTGAAATTTACAAACCTCCCTCTTGATTATGCACAGCTATAGGCATCGCTGATAGCCTCAGTGATTTTGCAAGGTATTGGTCTCGCTCTGACACAAACACTTTATAAAGTAATGGAAAGTCTCCAGTCATTTCAGCCAACATCTCAGCTAAAAGGTCCTTCTGTTTACATCTTTCTACATCTTCTTTGCTTAAATAACAAAGAAAGATTTATGAGCACAACTGAATTCAAACAAGCATTGCTGCCTACTCTGTTGGATTGACTATACCATGGGAAGCTCTATAAACTAAAGTTCAAACATATGGCTCAACTATTACCTATCTCTAGGTAGGAAACCCAACTAATGGATTAACCAAGATATAATAGAATATAAATTTATGAATAAAATGATCAGAAAAAAGTTAATATATATTATAATATACCTGATAGGCTGTTTTGAGGTTAGTAAGTGCCAGGCAAGCTTTGTCTTCTGCCATAAACTAAGAGCTGACATTGCTCTTGATAAGGTTACCTTTAAAATTAATCAATGAAACAGTGGGGAAAAGCTTTCATACAAGTGGAGAAACATATGGTACAACTTACATCACTTACATGGTATGACTGTGACATTAAAATGGCATCCCAATGTGTCACAACATGTACCTTCAGTTGTATGGTACAGCATAACTACAGTTCAGTTACTGTATGGATATGTGTTGTTTCCCTCTCATACAAAAAGCACTTTTTAAAAAATATACATACCCAGTATATTTATAATATACATTTTTATTTGAAAAATACTGGTAAAAGAAATAATTTGCTTAAAGTAGATAATTACCTGAATAGGTCTATCACCAAGATGAATTTGACAACCTGGGATTTTCTTGGCCTAAAATTGTTATATCAATTAATTAATAAAAGGATTACTTTAAGGACAGTCTGCAAGTGTAATAATTGGACCCCTTAATCGTCTTGATTACAAAGATAACATGAAAATACAAAAAAAAAAGCCACAAATTCTATTGAGAAAAAGTGTGGTTTCTTTTGTATTTCCATTTTAGTCTTCAGACACCAAGATATTCTCAAGAAGGGACCATTGGTATTCTCTAAAAAAGAATATCATAAATAATGTTTACTATGAACATTGGTACCTCATTATATGCTGCTCTGAATTCCCCTCCAGGAGCCATTCCTAGTTGTTTTGTAATGTGTGCTGACATACTTAACAAAAGGACCTGCATTACGCCACCCACAACACCACTCTGAAACAAACATGAGGATCAATGAATTAAAGCTCCTGTTATTACAGCTGTAAATAGATCTCTTTAATACCTTGGGTGTAATGTTTTCCCATTTCAGACCAGATCCAGATCCAACTCAAACAAAGAATCTTATTCTTAAGAGAATGACACATATTCTGAAATTGGAAAACTGATTATGCCCAAGATAAAAAGGTATATGAGAACATAAATTGGTTCATTTCTTTGTTTGTTATAGCAAAAGGTAAAAGCAATAGCTGGGTTTTTCAGTAGTTATGTTGTGCAACAAATGGGTAAAAAAATGGCCAAATGTTTTCCTTTGGAAAACCCTAAACCAGCCCCATCATTAAGCGTGTGTCCTCCTCGTTACCAGTTTTCTGCACAATCCAATGGATAGGTTTATAACAGTTGACACATTTTATATTCAATAATGTGCCCACAATAGACCTTATTCGTCTTGGTACAAAGTTTTCCAATATCAGACCATGTGACATTCCCAAGAGTGTAATTGTTTAAAGGCAATGCATGAAAAGACACATGTATACAACTCAAACAAAGAATTTTATTCTCTAATGAATGAAACATGGTATGAAATGGGTAAACATTACATCAAGATAAATTAGGTGTATTGATTAAGGTAAACGGACTGATGAAGGTGCTTTTTTATACCTGTTTTATTGCAAACTTTAACTTTTGCATGTCAATATTTTTTGCTTCTCGTAGAAGGAATTCTTCATCATACTTGAGTATATCAACTCTACTTTTACATAGCTCTACTACAACTACATCGGGCTTCACCGCTTGGATTGTCTGTAGAAAACAAAAATTTCAAATGAAAGAAAAAGAATGATTAAATAAATAAATGGGCAGGTTGCAACCATTTTGAAATTAAAGCAAAAATCCAAACACCTCAAATTATAACAGGTGTCATGCACTGCTAATGCTCCACCTCTCACCAATATGACCCCGGTTTGAGCCTTGCGAGTCTTGGTATCATAATATGTGAGTAGAGTTGTTTGTTGGTTCTCTCCTATGCTTTGAGGGTTTTTTCTCCAGGTTCTCCAGCTTTTCCTCCCTCCACAAAAATCAACTTCTAAATCCCAATTCGATCTAGCGGCTGCCTTATCAATTGGGTCACAAAGCCTGTTAGGCATTAAGCCGTCCACCCAGGAGTGGTAAACGCATTATACTGTATATATATTTTTTAGATTAGTCAACTTGTTTCATAAATAGGATGGATGAATTGATAAGTATATGGTAATGAAAAATAGATATGGGATGGACAAAATAAACGAATGAATAATATTATAGAAGAGCAGGTTGAAGGAAGAATGAATGGTAGAATGGTGCTATAAAAAATGATTAAATTAATAGACATATTACAAAGAGTATGAAAAGATAAAAGGACACAATTGGAGTTATTTTACCTTTGCTACATCTTCCTGGCTTTCTTTACTAAAATGAGCAGTTCCAATCAGGTAAACAATACAGCCAGCCGGAGTTACGAGCTTTGTCACTGTTTCAGGTAGGTCTAAAACCTCATGTTGTCTCATGTCTATTAATTTTTCAATCATTTCTTCAGGTGTGCTAGCATCCAGGGCAGCCTCTGACGACTCATCTGTTGCTGGTGCATTTTCATCATCTAAATCACAACAAAGATTTAATATCAATTAAAACCTTTTAAAGTAAAGCATGCCTACAAAATGCTAAATTGAAGATTTCACTTCTTAAAAGTAAAATATAGACATATTATTAAAATTGCATTAAGCAATAAAAATAAAAATAAAAATCATAATAAAATTAACAAGTGTAATATTTTACACGTATAAGACAAAAATCACTCAACTGTGGAATATGCCTGCGATTTGTTATGACAATAAAACCCACTTTTATGTGATATTAATCATTAATCATAATTGGGTAAAGTGCGCACCGTCGGCTTCCATTGATAGCAGTTGAATTTCAACTGAAGGAACTTACCGACGTTAAATATAGGTACTTTACCTTTGATTGCTCCACCCATTTTCATTGATTGGTTTCAAACATTCAACATGTATATGTATTCAAAATGGAGCCAGTGACTTTGATCATATACACATGGAATGTTTGGAACCCGTCAATGCAAATGATCATACAAAGGTGGGCTTGGCTGTCATAAAAAATCTCAGGCCTATTCCACAGTTCGATGTTTCATTGTATATACACACCTACAGGAAGTTCTACATCATCATGTCTGTGATCATGCCCACTACAACCACAAGAAGCATTCTCTACAATTGTAAGTCCTTCAGGTGTTTCTATCACCATTAGATGTTCGTCATCTGATTGGTCAATATCACTCTGAGATTCGTGATTTTCATTTGGTTTTTCTTGCGTTTCTGTTTCTGTTTCTTTTTTGATATCCATGTCTAAATCCTTTTCTATAGAAAAAAGTTACATAAAAATGATAAATTAGAAAGCAAACCCTTTTACATTTTTATGCTTTTATAGTAATGTTGTGACCTTTGCAAACACAGGCATTTTTTCAACTTATATTTCAAAGGATAAAATTGTGAGAATTGAATTGGGCTCCCTGTGTGGTTTCACAGAAATACCAACTTAAACTTTCTGCATTTTTTTTATTTATAAACGTACCTAGTCAAACTTATGTTTTGTGCTTTTATTGTCATTTTCCACTTGATTTAATCTATTTCATTGTTATTCATTGAACTTTCACACTTGCTTTAGCTATATTTACATATAGTAGAGTTTTCATTAGACCTGATGATTTTGTCAAGATGATAGCGATGTCTTTTACAACTAGTTTTCTTATTGAATTGTATTCCTAAAAGTACCTTTATCAAATTTAATAGAGCTTCGATAAAACGGAAACAGCTGGGATTTTCCACACAGAACTCATTTGTAATTCTTAAGAAAATTTCGTCATCCTATGACTATATTAGCAAAATAGCAAGTCAAAGATTACTGTCTAAAATTAAGATTAATACATATTGCTAAAAGTAAAGGTTAAATTATTTAATTATTAATAATTTGTTAAAATTCATAATTTATCAACGCGAGCCAAGTGGATATTTACAAACACCAAATGATGCATGAATATAACAAATAAATGACTAATAATGTACAATATAGTAAACATAAGTTACTATAGAGAATATAAATTGAAATAGGAATCCAAGAAAGTAATGGTTAGAAGGTAACAGAGGGTCTACTTTGACATCCTATCATAAACTGACGTAAGTAAAAGAAGCTTCCAATAAATTGTCAAAATTATTTAACTTATACTATGTCAGAAACAAAATAACTTGAAGCACCTAAGAAAACTTTGAATAAGTTGTCTTATGTGCCAAATTCAACGCCATACCATTATCTACTGAGGATATATTTGATGTGTCTTCGACGTTCTTTATATCTTCCTTATTGTCAGATGTTGCCGCCATTTTGATTTGGTTGAATTTGGTGATTCATCACAAGCCTCGCTTTGGTTCTCCAAATGACCACAGGTAACCCGACTGCCGAGCGTGTTGGGTGCAAGACTTTTACTGGTTTCACAAAAACCGTTAAAGAAAACGGGAAAAATGTTCTTAATAATTTAACTTCCAACTGAAAGAATTATAGCTTTGCATAAAAATACTGCCATCATGATTAAAAGTAAGAAAATTATTTATAGAGCTGTTTTTATTTTAGACCTGGAAGTCATTTTTCAAATATGATTGACTTCACACTCGAAATCTCAAAAGGAAATCCTTACTGCATTTTTACTCATTTTTTATTCGTTTTTTACTTTTTTCCCCGATTTTATTTTTATTTGAATTGGGATCCCTGTTGTACTACCCACAAGACATCACTCAGTACAACTCATATGTAGTACATGAAGTATTTACAAATAAAAATTGGGTTTGTTGTGGACTGATTGTGTCTTTCGCAGAAGGGTATCCAAATAAATATGGATTTTAAGTAAAATAACATTGGTATTGTAAAGTATATACAATGGGTAACCTAGAGTCTGTGGCTAAAGTGAACATTGGACATCTCGATGGTAGCTGTTCCCGCGAACTCGACCTCAGTCGCGCCTTAACTTACGAGCAATACCAGAAAGTAAGTCAAATATATCAATTATTCAAGTTTTGACGATGATATAGATAAAATAAAACAGTAGTTTAGTCTGTTGTAGCTTGTGCTTTTGATTTGATCTGATTCCCGAAAGCACTATATTCTCTAAATCAGCTGTCGGTAAATGGTATCACATGCATGTCACCATAAAAACGTAATAAGTTATCTTAAAAGCTTAGATTCCTTTTCCAAAAACAGCTATGTAACCTTCACTATTAGGGTCTACTCTATCCGAAGTCTTATTGCATCGTTTTGATTTAGGACTTAATTTAACACCGTTAATTGGTTGGATGATATTTTCTGCATGTTTGTGCGTATTTTATAAGATATAACCTTCTTAATAGCATTATTAGCATTCAGCTCAGTATTCCACACAGGTGAAAATAGCTCATGAACTGTGATTGGTTTAGAATGATTGCAAGCTTATATGTGTGTATTAATTATATGTATCCTTTCATTTCAGCACCTAAGTGAAGATGACCCAGAAGCTCTCCATGAGATCCCTGATGATCTTGTCAACATCTACAGTACATCATTTTATGAGAAAATCAACTTGTCTTGCAACTGTATTTCAGTGATTCCTTATGAACTCTCCACATATCTGCCACATCTTGTATATTTAGACTTGAGCTACAACAGAGTGTCTTATCTGCCAGAGTCATTTGGTTACTTATTCCATCTTCAAACTTTACTAATAAATAATAATCAATTGAAGGAATTACCAGATTCATTCTGTTACTTAATAAGACTGGAAAAGGCTGATTTATCACATAATCAGCTTTCTCATTTGCCGAACAATATTGGCCATTTACCAAAGCTCAAAAGCTTAAATGTTAGTTATAACGAACTAGTGACTCTTCCAGCATCATTGGGGGAAGCAACGAGTCTAACACTAATTTTAGCAATTTTTAACAAGTGCAAGGATCCACCTCAGCAGATTTGCAACCAAGGTTCAGACATGATCCTGGCTCATTTCCAAAAAAACTGTCCATCAAAGCCTGATAAACAGACTAGTTCAATCAACAAATTTCCACGGATCAGAGGTGATGTGTTATTATCGGCGCACAGTAACCCAGATACTGCTAGAGTGCAGTATGTTCAAGCACAAACAAATATTAATGCTACTAGCAGAATTAAAACACCCTTACGACCTCCACTGGATGGTACCGCACTACCCCCAGATGAACTGGTTGATAAGATTGTTGGCTGTCTTTATGGTGCAGCCATAGGTGATGCCATTGGGCTCTGTACTGAGTTTATGCTTCCAGATGAGTGTAGATTCCACTATGAGGAACAGGACTTGAATTATGATTGTATGATTATGGACAGACACCGGTCAAAGTGGCAAAAAGGTGACTGGACAGACACATTTGATCAAACAGTAAGTAACAGCTTTCTGTATTCCTTGCTCAAGGCAGATTTCACAACGTGTAAAGAATACTAGTTGTACTAGCAAAGTTGTACATGCTAACTCAAGCAACAAGCACAGATCATGAATAATGAGGTGCAAGGGACTGGGGGGGTGGGGGGGCATAATAAAGAAAGATTATCACGGTACAGGTTTCATGTGAAAAATTCATGGCATGGATCTACTCTACTCTGATGTATGGCCTAAGCTAATTTACTTGGTACAACAGATGTCAATACAGTTACTTATTTTATTCATTTGACATTGATCCAGGAATTTACACCACAAAGCTATGTCTTGTGGTTATTCGATTGATCTACCATGGTCAATTAACTGCCATTTTAGTTTCTAAAAAAGGCCTGCTTATTAACAATATTTTATGCAATTGATATTTATGTGGCTTATAGTAAATGTAGCAGAATTTTCATTCATCTATTTATTTTCTCTCTCTAGATATTGTTATTAGAGACTATTATTAGTTGGGCTGGTGTTGTGGATGAATTAGAATTTGCCAAAGTTCTTCTTGCCTGGTGTAAACATGGATTTCCAGAACTAGGAGATTCTGTCGGTAGAGGAGTCAGGGGAACCTTAGCTAAGGTAAAGTTTCAAGCTCATTACCTTCTAACCTATTTACTAAACATTTTCCCACCCTTCTTCCCCCCTCCACACCTCCCCCACACTTCAAACTAAGAAGTGTTATTGGGGGGATGCGAGGTGGCTCTATACAGGCTACCCCTCCACCATATTGCACGGATATATATTTTCATAAACTCAGCAGCAAGAAAACATTTCCCATTGATTTTAAAATCATGATATGACAATTTTTTTCTTTCCTATCCAAAACTGAAAAAGAAATTTATATTCACCTACAGGTATCATTATAAGAAGCATTTCAGGCAGAACTGTTTTTAATTAAAAATGATAAGAACAATTAGTGTTATGTCATAATTTGCCCGTATTGTATGAATGTGCCTAATAATAAACTTTTGTTAGGTTATTTGTGAGCCTACATTTACTAGTGATCCTCATGGCACAGCAAGAAGTGTCTGGGAATCATTTGAGTCTCCTTCCAATGGTGCTGTCATGAGAACATCAGTACTAGGTGTGACACATTTCTTTGACTTGGCTGAAATATCCTCCAATGCCATCAGAATATGTAAAACAACACATCATGATCCAAGGTAAAGCATATCAAGTATTTTATTCTTTGTATTTAATTCTCTTTCATGATAGCTAATCTCATTTAGGTTCAGTTCAAATGAAGTGTACTTACATCAAATTGAAGCTATCCGTATTGATAATACTAAAAAGTATAACTCCCAAGTGAGCTTAGCTATTCTATATGTATATCTTATTAATTCTATTAAAAAAACAACAACAAATTAGTGTTGTTAGGGTGTCAGTATGTATGTGTCAGCTGTTCGTAGGATGTCAGTAATTTGTTAGGTTTTTAGTTGGATGTTGGTAGGTTGTCAGTAAAAAATGTAATGGCAGGTTGATAGTAGGTTGTCAACATAGTTTATGCAAGCATGGGTAGGCTGTCATGGACACGTTTATCTCATTTATGAATACATATTGCTATCGTCATCAATCGTTAAAAGTATTTCTTACTTCTACAGATGTGTTGCCAGTTGTGTTGCACTCAGTAGCATGGTTGCATTAATACTTCAAGTAGGTTTCATTTCTTAAATCTATGATAAAATACCATCTTGTCAATTTACGCATTTAAGATTTTTAAAATTAATTTCATAAAAGGCTGATCAGATAATGAGAGATATGCATATTTTGTTTGTAAAATAGCTTATATTATCATGGCGATATGCATTTTAATTATCACAGGGATTGCGTGTGACATGAATAAATTGGTCTAAAAATAAGAATTAGTGCATGAGTAAAAAAAGCAAAATTTAGTGTGATTAATGAATTCTGGGTTTACCTTTTATACTCTTATGTGGTTTATTGGTTTATACATGACTCATAAATTTTAGAAATATTTATGCATCAAACATGCTGCCGACCCCCCCCCCCCCTGCCACCCTGTTTTATCAAATTACAATGCCTATACTTTGTCCACTTTTGTTCTTATTAGGGCCACCATGACCTTTCTGACAAGACATCTCTTGAGGAGCTGATTGATAAAGCTAAGGAAAGAAATGAAAGCTTTCTTACAGAGGCACATCATCAGAAGGACTACAATCATTATTTCAAATGTGAAACATGGGATGAGTAAGTGATAACAACTTTCTCGCTCCTCTGTTGGCCATGAAACAACATGATGTTTAATTGGCATTTTTTGTCTTCTTTCAGTTTAGAACTGTGTGAGCCCAGAATGATAGACTACACTTTTAAAACTGTTGCTGCTGGGCTTGTTGGTTTAAGGTCAATGAAAGACTACAGGTAAGAATATCCTCTTATTGCATGCATATTCTTCTAACTTTGTTCTATTTCAGCCCCCCCC